GGATATTCTCTCGGAAGTTGGTCTTTTGGGTGCGAAACCTGTTACTTTTTCCATGGACCAGAATCATCATCTTCCTCTGGCTGAGGGTTCTCCACTCTCTGATCCTGAGCCGTATCGTCGTCTGGTTGGTCGGTTGATCTATCTTGCTGTCACCCGTCCTGATATCTCTTACTCGGTTCATATGTTGGCTTAATTCCTGCAAGCTCCACAGCAGGCTCACTGGGAGGCTGCTCTCCGGGTTGTTCGTTATTTGAAACAGTATCCAGATCAAGGTATTTTGCTTCGTACAGATTGTGATCTCCAGCTTTATGGTTGGTGTGATTCTGATTGGACTAGTGGTCCTCTGTCTCGGCGTTCTCTCACTGGCTGGTTTATTACTCTTGGTACTTCTCCTATTTCTTGGCGAACTAAGAAGCAGCAAGTTGTCTCTCGTTCGTCTGCAGAGGCTGAATACCGTGCTATGGCTAATACTGTCTGTGAGTTGAAGTGGTTGAAGGCTTTGTTACTGAGTTTGGGCATTCGCCATTCTCAGTCTATGCGCCTTCATTGTGATAGTCAGTCGACGCTTCATCTTGTTGCTAATCCGATTTTTCATGAGCGTACTAAGCACATCGAGGTTGATTGTCATTTTTTGCGTGATACATTTATTCAGGGGGTCATTTCACCTATTTATGTTCCCACTGCGTCACAGCTCGCGATATTTTTACTAAAGCTTTGGGTCAACGGCAATTTTCTTATTTTTGTCCAAGTTGGGCATTCGAAACCCGCATGCTCCACCTTGAGGGGGGGTGTTACGATATATGTATATATATTTGTATAGTGTTATTTTCGACCTGTGTACGTACTAGGGTTTCCACCGTAAACCCTAACTGATGTGTATATATAGTCCCTCTATGGATCGATGGATGGAGTATAATGTTTTATGCCGGCATTTAGTTTGTGTCAAAAGATCGTAATCCAAACTCTTATTGTCCCTCTCTGATACCTTACGCCAATGGAATTGGAAATGCACAAAATTTTGGGTGGTGTAGGAGGGACCCGATCACAGATGAGTATAGTGCACAAAAACAACGAGAAACTTGGAAAGATCCCATTTTCACAACATTGTTCTCCTCTTTCTAGTAGAGCCAATAAAAGCTAGCTATATGTGTGTACGTAATGAGTATTTCACTGTTTATATATATATATATGAATGGAATCAAAATCGTGATTGGAACACAACGTAATAAGTGTTTCTCATTCACATATTGCAGTTATTGCTAAGATGATGCTTCATAAAAAGCTATGTAAATGTAATAGTACGTATAGGGTTTCTTGAAATTTTTGCAGCTTTTTTTTTTCCCCTGAGTCACAAATTTCCTAGTTTCCCATTATGTAACTAATTTATTATTATTACAGTACTAATGTTACTGTACGATGTTCATAAGGCCAATGTCGTTGCCAGCCCGACATGAAGCAGTAGAAATAAACGCATGCTCTCACTCTCCTATTGAATTTCAAACTGTGGGGTCACTTTATACATATCATACTGTACTGTGTCCAAGCCTATAGATTCAAGCTACTTCTAACTATCCTTCATAATCTTTATTCGTTTAGGATATGGTCACCAAAGAATCATACTTGGGATTCTGTAGTTTTTAATTTCTTACATGTAAAAAGTTGTACATGTAGATCGATTCTATTATAATAGTATGCTTACTATATTCGTGCTTACAACAATGTAAATTCTTGGCGATTTTCTCTACTTCCTCATTTATTTTGGGGGAAACTAACCAAAAGAACCTTCTATAGCAAGTTTAGTTACGTACGTCTGAAGGTTATAAGTGCTAATAATTAATCACCTAACCAATATTCATGTCAATTATAAATTATCATCGCTACGATTAATTGGGTCATTACCTAGAGACACTAGGTGTAATCAACATGTCACCTTCTGATAGTATGTTAGTATTCATTATGATAAATGTACGTAACAGCGATTCAAATTCATATAACTTATCAAAAGTTTTTTTTTTTTTTTTGAAAGAAATTTACTGGGATGAAATCTAAATCATCGAGAATTCAGAATAGTATAGATTTGGATACTGTTGTCTAATATAGGGAGAAAATGAAAATACCCTTGTTAGGAGTTACCAGGACAACATGTCATCTCACCGGTCATGTCACGAATGCGCTGTCAAAGTAAAAGGAACAACCTAAAATAGAACTAAAAAAGGGCCGGCGATACAAATAAATTTTTGTGAATTGCTGGCTCTATGTTTAGATCGTTTTTTGAGTATATTTTTTTGTATCAGGAACGTGCAAGATTATATTGAAAATGTAAAAAAGTGCATTGTTGAAATGAGATAAATATTAATTAAAAATTCTGAAAAATCCGAACCAAACAGAGCCTCAATTCTCCAAAAACCCCCGGCCCTTTTGCTGTGTTGTGTACAGTAGGGTTCTTATTCTTGTGTTTGTTTTTGCAATGATGATGTTTTCTTTTTTTCTTACCAGAGAAGGGTACTCAGCGTGCCCTCAGCAAATTCGAGTTCACCTGCTTCTTCTGTTAAAGAAAAAATACAAGGAAATTGAGAGCTTCTTCCCTTTGTTTTTTACTGTTTAGCCGTTCTTTTGCTTTGTACTTTTGGAGGTTCAACCATTAGAATATGGTGCAAACTGCAAAGTTAGCTTGTTGTGCTTTTCTTTTTTTTTTTAGATATATATATGTATATAATTACTTCCTTCTTTTTTTTTCTAATTTATACCTCCTACATCGTGCATTATTACAGGTAATTAAACAGATCTAATATAAGGGGACTTGTTCATGTACATCAGTTATTATCAAGAGCAATAGTCCCACAAGGTCAATTAAAGCTCCTACAACAATTGCAAACAATGTAAATGGATATTTTGCACCCCCAATGTTTGCGCTGCACCAATATATTCATCTCAACGAGCTAATTTTTCCTACTCAAAGTTTTCAGTTGGGATTTTTTTTTCCTCAACCATTTTTGTTTTTGGTTTACTGATTAAATTGATGAATACTACTACTAAGTATATTGTTGTTGTCGTTTTCTTTGTCACTGATAATGTTGAGGATACAAATTCTGATAAATCATGTGGTTTCAATGTGAATTTAGAATAACGAATCACGAAAACTGACTTTTATAGTTCGTGACAATTTCATTGGCGTTATATGAACGTTATGATGAAAACTTTAATTCACCCGATTGCAAAATTTAGCAGTTGTCAAAATCCTAACTGAAGACATCGCACACGAACAGTAAACCGTTTTTCTATTTTCCATCAAACAAGTCAAACAAACGAAGATGAAAAAAAAAAGGAGAAAAAAAAAAGTGAAAAGAAGAGCTCGACAAATGTACATAGCTAAAAGCCAGTTTAGAAAAAAAGTTCCATAGAAATATGTGAGAAGGTTAGCAGCTAGGAAGAAGAGGCCATGCATGGACCTAAAAATGAGCCAGAACTGACCTAAAAAATTTACTGCCACAATTTCATAGAAGAAGACAAAGAAGGTAAAGTTAAATTGGTGTTTGCTGACTAATAATAAATTCGTATACCTGCACATATATATGTAATAAGAAACAGAAAGAATGAGTAGTCAAATCATTTGGTATTAAAAAAGAAAAAAAAAATCTTTTCAATGTCTGGACAATATCATACAATCGCAATAATTTTATAATCATCATACGTACATAAAAGGGTTAAAGTACAGATATTATTACATACTACAAATATTTTATGCAATTTGTATAGTTTGATGATTGAATTGAAGGAACCCTAAAGAGTCGCAGTCGGGTTCGGAAGGTCATCTCTCTCTATACTAAAAGATAAGCTAGCCATTGAATGTCAGTCATTTCAATATGGATGCTTCTGTTTGTCCAACGGACAAAAAGTTTACCCCCTCAAACCCATCTTTTTATTCCGCCATTTCCACATTGTTGAAGAAAAAAACAAAAAATATATATATGCAGAGAGATATTATATAATAGACTTTGGGATTGAGATTAGACATTCTATCTACATATTATGTAGTAATTTTGTCTTATTGTAGAACGATAATGCTTTGTAATTACCAAATGAAAATCATAACTTGAAAGAAACCCTAATTTAATGACATTATGTAACATATAAAATTTGTTTCTTTTTTATCATAGCGTATGTAACACTATTTGACTTCATTACCTAACCTATTACATGATATGGGAATTCGTCTCTCTTATTATCAACATATAACAGAAAATTGTAATTAAATTCACAACATACACATACTGAAATATAATTAAAAAAAAAATCTCACCAGGAGTCCGGCCTTGGCTGCATCATAATTTTTGGTTATTGATTTTCTTCTTATCCCTGTCGTGTCGTTGTAATTTATGTGTAGCCATAAAAAAAAATAAACATCTCGAAATCAGAATCAAGGACTATTTACATGTTTGTTGATCTCTATCAATCTCTTAAGCGCGAGAAAATAACGCGGTTATAATAGTAGAAATGAATTTACCTAGCACCGAAACATGAACAACAACCTTTAATTCAATTTTAAGTTTGAAAACAACTATGCACAACAAGAGAGAGAGGCAATAGGGCAGCCATGCAAACGTCCCTTTCTGGCTCCTCTCTCCCACATCTGCCGCCTGTGCTTCACTGTCTCAGTCTCATATACACAATATATTGATCCATCTTCCCACACCCCACATCGGGAATGCCAACCACACATGTTCTTTTCTTTGGCTTGAATTTTTTTTTTTTATAAAATTATTACAAAATTATGACAATTTGTATTATTGATTGCACATGACACATGTACTAAGAAGATATATATGGCATTTACCCCCCAAACCAACAGCTAGCCTACCCTAGTTGCATTAATGTCCACCCTGCACATAATCGATAAAAATGCATGAGCAACCTATCAACAATGAGAAGATCATCAAGAGAAACATCATGAACTAAAAGGGTTTCTTTTTTCTTTTCTTTTTTTTTTTTTTTTTGGTTTTAAAGTTAGTCTCTTATATAATATCTTTCTTGTATACATTTCTAGAATAGATTCTATATATCCACCGCCCCAAATAAAGACTTTCTTCTATTCTTTCTCCATCATCTTCCCTGTTCTTTTGTATGGGTTTCTTTTCTGTGTGAGCAGAGTGATCAAAACAAAAGGAGCAGATCCAAGGTGGGTTGGTTAATCTGTCAACTCCATCAATCAATCCATCAATCAAATCAACCAGTCTGCCTGCAGTTGTAGAACTTGTTGTAATAGGGAATCCGAGCTCAAAAAATCCAATAATAATTTATTTTTCTTAGAGAGAGTAAAAAGAGCCAAAAGGAATCATTCTTAAATCCTCTAAACCATGTCATCAAACGCGTCTAATGTTGTTATGTCATCCAATTCTTCTTCCTCTTCCTCTTCATCTACTTTGTCATTGGACCACCACCATCACCTCCCTCCCTCCGAGCAGCTCTGCTATGTTCATTGCAACTTATGCGACACCGTTCTCGTGGTACATATACTTTTTAGCCCTTTCTTTTTTTTTTGGGCTTCATTTCACCATTATTTGATACTATTAGGGTTTTGTTTGAAATGATGATATGTTTATTACTTTGGGGTTGTGATGATGTAATAATCAGGTAAGTGTTCCGAGTTCAAGTTTGTTCAAGACGGTGACGGTTCGATGCGGCCATTGTGCGAATCTGTTGCCAGTAAGCATGAGGCAAGGCTTGCTTTTGCCTTCTCCAAATCAGCTTCATCATCACTTACTTGGCCATACTTTTTTCTCTCCTTCATCCCAGAATTTCCTGGTAATTTTTTTTATGTTATTAAATTTTGTGGATGTCACAGTACAATGATATATATTTGTAATGATGGGCTTTCACACCTTAATTTGCAGGATCAAATTTCAAGTCCACCTCCAAACTTTCTGATTAATCAGGTTACTGCACCAAATGATCGTCAACATCATCACCATCAGTTTGCCCTACCTCCTCATCAAACGGGATTCAATGATCTCCCTAAGCCACCATCTGCCATCAACAGAAGTGAGATACCCCATCATCTCTCAGTTTTCTTCTTTTTTTTGTTTTTTAGTCAAAAGAAAGAATTTTGAGATGCCTTAAAGTGATGCCATAAGAATTTTGGTTTGATTTTTTGGTCCTTTGTTATTAGTTTTTGTGTTCATTAGTAATGATAGTTGATAGATCAAAAGTCATCTGAATGTGAACATTTTTGCTCGCTTAATCTTTAAGACAAGAAATTAAGGATACATTTTGATATCTCTCTCTCTCTGTGATTCCTTATTGTGTTCAGCCACGGAGAAGAGACAGAGAATCCCGTCTGCTTACAACCGATTCATCAAGTGAGTTATCACTGAAAAAAGCTGACTACCAAATCTGCAGTATCTCTATCAAGATTCAAGATCTCTCTTTTTTCTCTCTTTTTTGGGTCCTTTTTTATAGTGTGTGTGAATATCAATGGAGAAGTGGAATGTGACTGGTCATGACTCATGAGTTTAATTTTAATTTTATTTTTATTTTTTTTTAAGGGAGGAGATCCAACGCATCAAAGCTCAAAATCCTGACATTAGCCATAGGGAGGCTTTCAGCGCAGCTGCCAAAAATGTACTTAATCTTGCTTTGAAACGCTTCATTAGGCAAATATTAATTAGGGTTTTCCTTAATTCCTCCTCTTTTGTTTTTCTTCCTTTTTTCTTTTCATTTCTCATAGCATTGACAGGCTTTTCATTGTCTGTTTTTCTGTTTTCTTTTGTGCTTTGGCAGTGGGCTCACTTTCCTCACATTCAATTTGGTCTCATGCCTGATCAGACTGCTAGGAAAAGTACTAATGTGCGCCAACAGGTAATTCTTGACTCTACCTTATATAGAATTAAATGGTTAATTTTCCCTTTGCTGATTGATGTGTGTGTCTTGTCTCTCGGCTTAACTTTCCATTGTTTTTTTTTTTTTTTTTTGGTTGAAATTGTAGGAGACTCATGAAGATCATGTTCTAATGAAGGATGGGTTTTTCGCAACGGCTAATATTGGGGTTTCCCCATACTAAGAATAATGAAAGCCAGCACGCACTTTGGTCTTTGGCTATGTTTCTTAAGGCCGATGATCTTTTGTGTGGAAATTACGAGCTAGAAAAACTTTGGTATTGATCTCAATGGTGAAACAATGTTTGAGGTCAAGATAACTTCTCTTGTCTAACCCTTCTTTTAATTTTTAGCTCCTTTTGTTAGCTTATGACTCGTTGGTAACTTTGCCAATATTTGTAAGCTAGACTGCTATAATAGTACGTACGTTCTACTTAATTTGTTGGCACTTTCAAATGTTTTGCTGAAGGCTGCATAATGAGTCCTGTTCTGGTTTTTTTCCCCCCTCTAATATTAAGCATATGCTATAGATGTATACCATGAGGCCAAAATTCGACACATAACTCATGCATTAGTCAAGGAAAAAAAAAACTCTTAAGAATAGAAACTTGCATAAAATTGTACTCCCTCTAGAAAGAAAATAGTCTACTTTATTGAATTAAACAATAAAAGTGGACTATTTTTTGGGATTAAAAGAGTACTAATGAAGTGTCACAACTCAAAAGTACATATTATACTCCATGCTTGTATAAGATAGAGGTCAATCTTTAAAAAATTAGGACAAAAGGATCAATGGTTATACATCAATCTCAAAAAGTATTTGTAATGATTCTCTATAATCTATTATCAAAATTTAGAGCGTGACTGGAACTCAACATAATTGAGTTTTTCCATCTACCTAGTGCGTTAATTTTGGTTGTTTTTCTTTGCCTCCTTCAATGTAACACCAAAAAAGCTAGCTAAACATGCACAAAATAAATTGATAAAACTCTTACTCCAGTTTTATGGTACAATGGTGAAATAATGTCTCAAAAGTATGATATATATTTCTTTAATCTCGAAATGATTCTTTAGTTTAGATTTAAATTTTTAGTACAAATTATACTAGAATTGAAATTCGAAGATGGAAAACAATTTTGGGACTAATTTGTAGCCAAGCTACAGCAATTTACTAATCGTAATGCGTCTAACTCTTCACGAGCTATTGTTTCTTCAAGTTGTTTAATCTTTGCATGAACGCTAGCATATGCAGCAAGTAGCATTGCTTGTGATTGAGCTTCATTAGCCTTTTGGCTCGCAACAAGAGCTTCCTCCGCTTCCTTTTGCTGCTTAAGGAACACTTTCTCTGCTTCCTTTTACCTCTGATCATTTATTACACCCGGATCGGGTTGTTGAACCTTAACATCCTGGTAATCATTACTACTTGTAACATCCAGGTTTAAGCTTTCTCTCGTTTCAGCAAGCCTAACCTTCTCATCCAATGATCTTGGTTCCTCACCAGGGCGCGCAACTTCCTCTCTGGCTAGCAAATCTTTTCGATGTAATTGAGCTTCTTCTTCTTCTGCCTTTGGCTTCTTATTAAGTAAAACTTCCTCATCAGCTTCCTTTAACATCTGATCTGATACTACTGAATCTGGTTTTTGAACCTTAATATCATCACAACTATAAGTATAAGTAGTAATGTCCAGGTTTACCCTTTCTTGTGCTTCAGCAAGCATAACATTATCCAACCTTGGTACCCAAAAATTTTTTGGATGTATTAATTGAGCTTCTTCATCTTCTGCCTTTTGCTTCTTATTATTATTTAGTGAAACTGCCTTTAACTGCCTCTCCATCTCAAATAATTTATGTTCGGAATACGGCAAAAATTTGGCAACCTCGAGCATCGAGTTGGAGCTGATCAAACGATTTGATCAGCTCCAACTTAACCTTGTGAAAGATGTCCATCACAAACTGTTTATTCCCTTTGAAGATGTCTTCCATCTTCATTGAAGCCGCAACCGCGCGGATCGTCGCCCTCAAAAACGCCTTTGACAACATCGTTGGCGTTTAAAAGGTGGTTCCGCTGCCAACGACACCATCACCGCTCTCGGCGTGACAAAGAAAAGGATAGGGGCACGAAGTGGTTTGTTGTCGGAACTCCATGCTTGGACCTCAATGTCGGACTCGAAAGAAGTCGTACGGCTTCTAACAATTCTACCATCATCATCATCGTAATCGAAATTCTTGTCATGGTACTTTAAGTCAATGATGGCTACTCCGACTATATCCAATGGCTCGAAAACAATATGCATCGTTTTCCTATGTTGTGAACCGGGTTATTTCTTGTAACTCTTCTGATTTTCTCGAGTTATGCTGTGAACCGGCTAATTTCTTCTTCTTGGACTTTCAAGTTTTCCCGATGCGCCGAGACAGAATCACACACCCGAAGAATACATGAATAAATCTTATGATTAATCCGTGAACTTATAGAACATAAACAACAAGTTTAGATCCTCGATTGTGGTAATAGGAAACTTTCGGCCAAAAACAGGACAGGAAAACGTCTTAAATCCAATTAAAATATAGGAAAAATATGTCTTAAAAAGTAGTCTAGAAACCGAACCCTACGAATTCTATAACTTCGGCGTTTCTCCTTTAAACGGTTCGTTTTTCGCAATTACTTCCTCTGTCTCAAAATTATTATTTGAGATTTTATTTTTATATAACTAAAAATGAAAACTCAAACTGGACAATAATTATGAGACGGAGTGAATATTAAATTACTCAAACTGGTTGGTCATTACTCACATGGTAGACACTTATATGTATATGGTTAAAAAAAGGGCGAAAAAAGTATTGCAATCAAATTACTAACTACGGTACAAAAAATAACGAAAATCTTTTTTTTTTTTGACACGCGAAAATTATTATTATTTTTTTTTTTTATTATTTTTTTTTTAAAAAAAATATTTAAATAAAGTGCTTGAATCCATGGCCCATAAAGAAAGTATACGGGCCAACCTGCAAAAGTAAAGAAAAGTTCATGTGGGCTCGTTATCCGCAACAAAACATGGCTGTAAATTAGGCCCACTTGAAGCATCATCAGCATTTCAGTAGAAATGCAGTTACCGGTGCCCGGAATTGTTATATCTTCGACGGCGAATACTGTGATTCTCGGAAATTGACCCTAATGATTAGAGCGGCCTCCAACGAAATCACAAGATCCAATAACCGAATTCAATCGATACTTCGCCGCCAATCTACTTCCATTTTCCCTAGGCCGATTTGGGAGCCTCCTCCGAAGGAATGGATCCGACTCAACGTCGATGGCGCAGTGGAGACATCACATCAAAAACGACAGCAAGCGGGCTCCTAAGAAATCACGAAGGTGCTTGGATTACAGGCTTTACAGCCAAAATGGGCATCTGTTCCCCCCTTGAAGCGAATTCTGGGCCGCTCTTTTCGGGCTGCGGATTGCATAAGACTTGGGCTTTCAGAAAGTCCAATTGCAGATGAACTCCTCTCAAGCTGTCACCCAAATTAATGACGGACTTAACTTTTGCTATGGCAACAATGTCCTGCCTAAAATTATTAATTTTCTGGATAGCCATCAATGGATTTTAGAAACAACCTACATCAGTAGAGATGGAAACGAATAAGCCGATTCCTTAGCTAAATTAGGACTATCTCAAAACCCGGGGCTATATATTCTGTCTTCACTGCCCCCAAAAGCTTCCGAGAAACTTTTGTTAGATTGCCCTCAGTCGGCTCCAGCCTAATAGAGCCGCTTTTGTATACTTAAGCTTCGGCTTCCCCTGTATAAAAAAAAAAAAGAAAAAAATGTTGTTACTGTGCTACATAATTTATTTTTTTTCAACCGAAGTGGTTGTGGTGGAGTATAAGGGACTCCTCCATCCTTAACCATAGGTCGAGGGTTCGAACCTCGCCATGGGCATAGAGCAATCTTAAATACTTTGGCCAGTTGTCTCACCCATCGAGATGCCTACAATTCAGCGAGTGGGATTATTCACTGTTGCTGACGGTGGACACCCTGCAAATATATAAAAAACCTCTTTTTGACATTATTGTGCTACATCATTGATAGTACTTCCTCCGTCCCAAAATTATTGTCCAGTTTTGTTAAGATGCAAGATTTTATTTTTAGTCAAACTTAACATTTATTGGGCAGAACCTTCCAAATATACCCTGCAACATAAATGGTTTAATCGGCCAATCCAAAAACCCATTTCAGAACGGAAGAAAAAAACTTTCAAGTGCCTAATCCAAACAATTCAGGGGAAGAAGATCAAATTTTGGATAATCTTCTCACTCTTTTCAATTTAGTATTTATGAAAACAATTCTTTTATTTCATTGGTTTTTAGATTGAAAGAGGTCTTCTACTTTGAGTATTACTTTTTTAGTTTTTTTCGTTAATTTATTTTGCTGAATGAGATAGGAAATGATACTGCTACTGAATGAAGGGAAACTAAAATACCACCACATGAAACATTCCACTAACTAGATTCGGGATATTGTTTCCCAATTTTCTATTTCATTATGTAATAGACTATTCATATTTTAAGACTTGTCTAAAGGTTGTTCATGAATTGCTTTATTTTGACGGAAGGCCCACCGAATACCCATGAACAGTGTTACCATTGTGGCAAGGAAAATAAAAAATTTAAGAGACTACTGAGCGCCCTAAAAATTATTATTTTAACAATTGTCTTTATTATTTTTTTTTTTAAAAAAGGAGAGGGGCGACATACATTTGCACCAGCCTGTCATGACTGGCGCAGGAGAAAGACGCCACTCGTGAACGGGTGTCGTCCAATTTTCACGAGTGGCGTCCAATTTTCTCACCACACTAATAAGGGTGGCAAGAAAAACCATCGCCCATAACATGGGGGTGGCGGACAAATCATGCGCCACCCCCCTCGGTTTGGCGAGCAAACCGCTCGCCAGTCCAAATGGCTGGCGGTCGGTTGCCACCTTTTTTTTAAAAAAAAATATTTAATTAATTTTTAAATTTATTTATTTAATTAATTCTTTAATTTATTTAAGTCATTCATTTATTTAATTTTATTTGTTTGTTTGTTTGGCAGTTGAATAAATAATTTTAACTTAAATAAATAGTTTTTAAGTTGGTAAATCCTTATAAAAATTTATCTTTTAATTATGTAGAATTTTTTAAACTTAAACAAAAAAATTATCATTTAATAACAACTAAAACTTATGAATTTACTACCAAACAAATTATTTATAAATAACTAATAAAAATACACTAATTATTTATAAATTAATGAATTAATTTACTACCAACTAAAAAAATATCATTCTCTAAATATTTAAATTAAAAAATTATTTATTTATCATCGGTGCATCTAGCCATCCTAAGAACTTTTTCTAAGAAAAAAAATATAAAATATAAAAATATGAAATATAAAATACATTGAAACGAATAATTAAAATGCATGGAAAAATGTATAAAATACTTTATAATAGCATAAACAAATTAACTTAAATATTTAGAGAACTTGCTTTGGTAAAGAAATATATTTTTTAAACTTAAATACTTCATAAAGTATTTTTTGGTAAATAAATAATTTTTTTTGGCAAAAAATAAAATATTTAACTACCAAACAAATATATAAATTAATTAAATGAATAAATTAAAAAAATTAATTAAATAAATAAATTTAAGAAGGGGAATAAATTAAAAAATTAATTAAATATTTTTCCGGCCGCCACCCATTCGGTCCACCCCCATTTTATAGGCGATGGTTTTTCTCGCCACCCTTATTGGAGTGGCGAGAAAATTGGAAGCCACTCATTTACCTTGTGTAACCATTTTGGGCAAGTTTTTTACTCAAAAAAAAAAAAAAAAGAGTGAAACAAACTTGAAAGCCTTAAACTAATCAAATGGTCCACTACCAAAAACTCAAGGTTAACCTCGTGTTTTCAATGTGCAAACTTTGTTGAAGTAAGAGGATCTTTTCAAACCATCTCCCAAGCCATAAGCCAAAATTCAATTACTTAGTAAGCTAAGCGATTTGACATTACCAGTACTAGATTATAGGAATGTCAAAAATGGTAAAAATGTACAACAATGTTTGTTTAAATTGAAGTTAAAGCAAATCATCCAAGTGAATCAAATACTCCAAAATGAATCAATCATCAATTAATAATAAATATAACCATTACATAAAAAGAATGATGGTTCCAATAAATTAAGGCAGGCATCCCGGGAGCAATGTAGTACAACCCGAAGAACAAATTAATAGGTCAAAATGAGAAACTTCATCAATATAAACAGAACTAAAATTACACATCTAAGCTCACTAAACAAATTCAGCTCCCGCAATCGGCACAAAATGAAGCATCACAAGAGCTTTCTCTACTGATGGGACGGTATGTAGATCAATGTAATTAGCAGTAGCAGCACAGTGAAAAGGAGTTGTGAACCATTGCCCATAATCGGTGCAGCAAAAGATATATCTTGTGGCCTGGAGATAGAAAAGATCGATCATCAAGAACATGTTGTGAATGAGAAGCAAGAGATATATGAAAAAGAGCAAATGTGTAAACATAAGAAAACAAGAGTTCATACTTTTGCATCTTCTTAAGAGCACCACAATACAGTACGTTATCGGGCATTGGTAGTTCTGTTTTGTTACTGCTGTCCTCTGGATTTACGACTTTGATATAAGTCTCTTGGCCAAGGTACCATGAATCAAGGTTTTCTGCTCTAAGGTTCCAAACTCCAACACTGTCAAGAGATGCTAGAACTGCAGTCCATGCTCCAGGGTACACCTGTGGCCATATTAAGACCCAAGTCAGTGACTCTCAACTGAATGTTTTTGATTAACAAGCATATGTGATTAGCGGAATTCTCAACCAATAATGTTTTCTGATCATGCATATATGTATTTATTAATAAGACTAAACATTAGGGTATGCACCTGAGCTGTAGTGCGAGCAACTCCATCCCACTTGTTGTATGTTCCTCTACTGTTTTCAGACCACTCGCCAAAATCCATTCTGCAATCATAAGATGATACATTAGGCAAAACTGTGGAAAATGAGCTTGGGCTCTGGCTTAAAAAGAGCAAAGGGTAATGGAAGAATAGGGAACCTACCCAACCACAAAGAAATTATATCCATCTAAATGATAAGTCTGCATTTTCGTGTCGTTGTTCTGAAAAATTAACTCGATAAATCCTCTATAAGTGCCATTGATAATTGAAGTTTCCATACGGGGTGGTCCTGTGATCGGCTTGTTAGGAAAATCTAACTTATATACATTCTTCACTTTGTATTGGTCAGCCAGTCTGATTGGTGTTTCAGGATTAACAAATGATATCCCATTTAGAGTTGCACGCCGTTTGCCATTGATAGTAACTGGTGGTTCATTTCTCAGAACATAAATCTCAGTCACGTTAATTGAACCATATCTAAAGGAACCTTGAGGATTTGGGCGAGCACCACTAGCAGTTACATTCCACCTGCAAACATTTGCCCATGGTTACTAACAAGCGTAAAATGCAAGTGAAAATTTAAGTGAAAAGGATATTCCATATAATCTCATTCTGACCTAGATTTCCTTGTTCAAATAAATATAGAATCATCTGGTAGGATATCTCCCAGATATTATGAAACTCGAGGAAAGAGCTTAAGAGGTCGACAGGATAAACCAACCTGATAGATCTTGCCTGGTTCATTGAGAAGGTTTTGTCGAATTCATCACTTGGTGGGTCTGGAAGAGGACCAGATGCTTTCCCCTTAGAGTTCGTATAGTGTAAGATTGCAACACCTGTAACTTTCTGCCAGGTTGTTTGATTCACTTGCCTGGCACTTGCAACTATGTAATAGTCACTACTTGCATTCTGATCCATGGTTACCAAAAAGGAGTATGATTGTCCAGCATGAATGTCCAAGCTCGTGTAGTTCTGTTGCACTGTGTAAGATCCCTCTGCCTCGGCCAGAAGCAGGTTGTGATTTTGGATCCTGAAGTTCAAACTGGTTGAAATTCCAACATTGCTAACACGAATTCTGTAGGTTTTTCCTACAATTAGAAAATCAAGAGAGATGAGACAGTTTTACACTAATCAGTTTTTTGGAATAATGCAGAGGATGGCTTGAACAGGAAGAAGAAGTCTTACTAAACTCCAAATATTAGACCTATGCATGAATACAGATTTTCAATATGCCATGTAGTTTCCACATATGCGAAGGACACATATTAGTTACCAAAGAATCATACTATGATGATAGAAAGCAACTCATACCATTTACATAAATTCATTCTACATTAGAAGTTACCAAGGAATTAGCCAACTGGATTTCACAAACAAAAACATATTTTCATGCCTTAAAATTTGAGTAGTTATAAATATAACGTATTCCCATCACAAACCTGGATGAACTTCAATGGTTTCATGGTCAATGCCATCCGGCACAAGTGTTTCATTGTACCTATAAGGTCCTTTCCCATTGATCAAAACACCATCTGGCATCCCCAGACTCTTGCCCGAATTCAGAGCTCTCCTTAGAGCCTGTAGACAAAGAATGCAAACCTAAGAAATTGAGGACTAGCCTTATAACATACAGCAAAGCCTTTGTACATAAAGCTGAAAAATTTATAGCAGAACTGACCGTGTGGTTCTGAGTGTACCAATCTCCAATCATAATTGTGATATCTCCATATGGGGTATCAAATGGAATGGGAATAATCGCCCTGTTGTTGACAATAATTGGGCCGAAACCACCCGAGGCTTTTTGAAAATGCAAGGATGGGAAGTAATAGAAGCTACCAATCTGGTCCTTAACCTGAAAATTGTAAGTCCAGTTCCACTTTGGTGGTATTGGACAGTTCGTGCCAAGCACCCCATCTTCCCAAGAATTCTTCCGCATAAAAATGCCAGACCTATTTCACCACAATCTCATATCAACAATCTCATCAACAACTCAATAAATTAATATTTTTCAAACCAAATTCAAGTTAAAAATGATCATTACCAATGCATGAGGAGCTCTTCATCTAACTTGTTTTTAACATTGATAACAACATTGTAGTTAGTGGTAACATTGATTGTAGGCCCTGGAAATTTGCCATTGACAGCAATTACCTACAAAAGTAGAGCAATGCAAAACATTCCTTTAGAATCTCATAAAAATCCTTCCTTTTAAGCCAACTTTAACTCATTGAGACAGCAAAAAAATTGATAAACTTTTTCACCATAGCTCAAATTCCCCTCATTTCACACTATCCACCAGATCTGAATTCAAAAAAAAAAAAAGAACTTCCTACAATATGAAGCTAATCTACGAATCACAACTGAAGTATCACATTCCCACCATTCACTTAAACCAGTAAGTAATAAAATTCTGCAAATGCAGCAGCAAAGTGCAAACCAGAGAGGCTACATTAAAGAAACAACAAATGCAAAACAAAATCCCCACATTACATTACATAATTGGAAAAGCAAAACCAAGACAAAAAAAAAAGAGATCCAGAGCACAGACCTGTTGAGGGACACCAAGAGGTGAAGCAGTAATGTAAGAGACTACTAAATCGTAGGTAGCAAATGGATCCTCAGCAGAGGCAAAACCCACAAGCAGCAACAAAGCAATGTAGAAAAAAGAAAAAGGGATGAACTTGAAAGAAGCCATGAATTGAACTCTTGAGCTGATTACAATTTCTTTTCCGGGCCAAAAAAAAAAGATGTAAACTTTCCTAAGAAAAATAGGTTTACATTATCAGAAAGAAGAACAGGGAAAAAATATGGAAGAAGAAAGAAAGAAAGAGACAGTAGTAGTAGTAAGCAGTAAGCAGTAAGCAGTAAGCAGTTAATGGGTTGGTTTTTTTGTCCAAAATGTACAGAAAGATACAAAAGTATGTGAATATAAAAGGGAGGAAAACGGCTATTTCTTTTCTTTTCTTTTTTCTTATATTGGGTAGGGCTTTTATGGGAGCGCGTGAGGGAGATGAGTGGTTGAATGGGATGGTTGGGATAATTGAGGGAAATTGAGGGGGTTTGTCGGTCGGTCCCAATATGGCTTCTCTGTTTAATCATCAATCATCATCATTTTTTTAATGTCCTTTTTTTCTTTTTTTTTTATCATCATCATCGTTCATCATTCGGTTGTGTGCATGCATGATAATTTGGAAAGGCAACTGTGTGACTGTGTGAGAGAGAGAAATAAAAAGAAGAGGGAAAAAATGGGGGAAATGGGATTGAGTGAAAGGGAGGAGCATGAGGAGATAGAGTGGCGCCAGCCAATAGACAGTTCAGATTCGTCACCAAAATTGCCTCATTTACACGCTTGTTTTATTTTGTTAATACATATATTTATTCTCATTCCTCCCCAAAGTAATCGTATATTAACAAAATAACTTAATACATTTTTTTGTATTTACGTTTGATATCAATATTATGATTCTCGGCAAGAATAACTTAAAATTGATTTATTAAATCGATTCGGCTAAGTCCTTTTTCCTGTATTTTACCATTTGCTCATTTATTAACTCAATGCAACGAATGTACCCGAAAAAAATGATTGTTATACCTAATACTTATACTGTAATAATTTGCAATAAATATGACTCTAACTTTGAGACGAAAGATATCTTGCAAACCGGATTGATGTCTCCAAAAAAGAAAATGTGATTCTAACTATAGACGGAAAACATGATGCAAGTGTCACGGAAAACCAATAAATAAGAAAAGGAAAGGAGAAAACGATGGAAGTGAAAAATCCAAGGAAAGAAATAAGAGAATAAACAGAGTAACAATGTCAAATGGGGAGGGGATAAATGTCTATTTGACGAAAATTTCCAAATGAATACAGCGATTTCTCTGAAAGCTCCACATGATTTCCAGCTAGGCGTCCATTTTCCCCCGCCGGACCACCCCCACTGGATTGACCATTTATAGAGGCATCAGTTGGATCGGGTCAATCTTCCACGTATACTTTCTTTGGCATTTCCACCACTCTAGTATTTTTTTTTATTTATTTATTTAACTTGTTTATTTTAAGGATTCTAAAAGTTGTATGCACTCTGTCAAATGTAGCAGTTAATATCATGTCAGATGTATTTTCAGAGATTTTATCCATACGATAATAATTTATAAATTTTTCTGCAATGTGATTTAAACAAAGTAACTCTATTTACTTCCTGAAATATTGATTACATTGGTATGTTTAAAAAATCAATATTTCATCTCTCAATAGTTTAATTATATCAACTTGTTACAAATACAATCTAAAACTTGCTCCGTTATAGGAGCTAGCTGAATTATCTAAATTTATTTCAAGCGCAAGCTGAAATTAATAATCAAAAAATGTATATATAGTTGCAATGTTAGCTCAAGGCTCTATTATTATCAAGTGTCAAACTAAAATTAAAACATAATGTTAGGAGGGAGTGTATTACCTTTTCGTAATATGTAAATCTAGTTTCTTTTTATGTATTATCTTTATACCAACAAAATTTTAAAAATGGTGAAATGATCTAATTAGAAGAGTCAAATCTTTTTTTTCTTTAATTTTGGTAATTAATTGGGAAGGAAATTGAACAACCACCGGTCCGGCATTGTTATGAGTACTATTTTTTTTTTTTTTTTCTTTTCGGGATTAATAAGGCGGATATAATGTGAATTCGATGATAGCACTTGATCAACGCACTAAATCCTCTGCTCTAAATTTTGTCGGGTGATATTTACCACCCGACTTCTTGTGCTACTCGTTGCTATTCATTCAGTTTTTTTTCTTTTAAAGAGAAAAAAAAAAACTAAATATAATAACAAGGTTTTTATTTGGCCCTGGTGTATTTATTGCAATAGGGACTTGCACTAGGAAGGGAATCGAGTGAGAAATTTATATATTTATTTAGTTTGAAATACACCACCCACAAGAGGGCAAGAAATGAGTGAGCATATGGAAACTTTTTTGTACACCCTCAAACTTTAATAAATGTGTGATTTTGGAAACAATCAAAACTTGGTTAGTAAGCATAATCAATTGATAGTGATTTATCTTAGCGAGAAAGTCTTTCTTTTCTAGTAAAAAAAAAAAGAAAAGAAACTTTGAGAAGGGATTTATTACAAATTAAAAACTCTTATTGGTGTTTGCTCTAACACTAACATATTTCGTGAAACATATAATAATTTGCATAATGACACCTATTTATATTGTTTCTTGGAAGAAAACCATAGATTGTAATTGGGCTGGCTGCCGTGGGAATAATTGCTTTCCTTTGATCATCTTCACAATCTTATAAAAATTAGGGAAGGCTTTCTTGGTGGTGAATTTTTAATATAATTAGGAGCAACCACGTGAAAATCTTCGAAAATCACACAACATTAATCCAACGTTACAAGGCACTGATTAGAGCAAATTATATTCCAAGTTGCCAACTCATTGCGCTTACCAAATGACTTAATAAGACTAGGGTTAGCTTCTTCCTTTCCCCCCTTTTTCGTCAGTTTTACTTTTACTTCTTTGCCAATTGGTTTGGTGTATGATCTGAGCTTAATCCACGTGCTTATGGTTGCCCGAGATTTTGATCGAGGCATTTTGATTATCCTTAATTATTACATTTCGATACAATTTTAATAATACTTTTGGTGCATTACCCATTCAGTGTCCGAAGTCGTTGCTCCGACTAATTCAAATTTGAACTGGGTAGATCCCTTTCGGGAGGAAAAAACCTGTCCCAATAAGTAATACTTTAAATACAGAATAGGAAAAAGTTGACAATGTCATGAATAAGGCAACATTAAGATCTTTGGTTTAATTTATCACTTTCTTGCGAAAGAAGAGAAAATATAATTAAAAAGACCAAACAAAAAGAAGAAAAGAAAGTGATTTGAAGCATGTTTGATTGTTCTCTGATCCATTGGGAAAGGCAATCCCCCTAGTGGTTGAAATGTAAAATCAAGAAAGATTGATGATTCTTGGGTAGCTACTATATATTCTTTGGGAACAACATTAGAGACCCGATGCATTCGTAACTAGTAAATGAATCTTTAACTTAGCAGTATAAAAGTTAAATTATGTTGTCTTCTTCATTTTTTATTAAAAAAAAAATTTCAAAAAAAAAAAAGAGAGAGAGAGAGAGGCGAAAAGGTCTATGTGACAAAGTATGTAGGAACTACAAAACCTATGTGGATATGTTTAGTTATTTAACATTGCACCAACTGCTCCAATCTATAGGATTTGCCGCGCCAGTAATCTGTCTTGCCGATGGATGTTGGCTTCAACACTTTTATTCTTTTTTCCATTTCAAAATGATTACTCCCTCTGTCCCAAAATTTTTGACCAATTTGATATTTTACTTTTAGTATAATTTGAACTAAAAATAAAAATTCAAACTAGAAAATAATTATGGGAGGGAGGAATTACTCATTTCTCTCGTTTAATTAATCGTCTCACATGCTTCTATCTTCCTATAAATTCATACATTTAGATCACTTTTTTGTACACAGCTCAATGATGCAAAACATATTAAAATGGCTTCCTCAATGCACACTTGTTGCGGCGGTTTTGATTGTCTTAGTAATTTGTAAGTCATCTACTTTCTGGATCGAGTACTTAACAGTTAAGTGTTATCTTGTACCACCTCTATTTTTTTCTTTCGAACAGACTATTTAGTTCTCCATTGAGAGCGCTCTTAGCTTGTCCTCCGAATGTATGTAGTAACGTAGTATTTTCAAGCATTGGCCAAGGTTTATTCCTTCCCCCGAAAAAACGAAACTTATAGAGAATGAAATACATGATCAGATTGTTGTGAACAATGTGACAAAAAAAAAAAAGAGGTAAAATGTAATAAAAGAAAAATATTGGTTAGTCCTGGATAAATAATTATAACATGAAAACGTGACTTTATATCGTTTCATATATATTGTTCACTTTTTCGATGTCATTATTATTTTGATAAATACGTGCAATGTACTTTTTTCTAGTTAGTAATGTGCCCACTACCAGGATTTATTTATACTCCGATGGATGAGGCCGAAAATCTTCGGGTTGACAAGTCCTTACCCAGTTTTTGGTCATATGATTTACTATTGTAGATGGATAATCTATCAGTGGAGGCTATTCATTATCAAATTAACGGGTCATTAGATGTACGAAAAATTGATCATAAACCAAAAATTATGTTGCACCATGATTTATTAGAATACAAAGATGTAATCACTTGACATTTGTTTCTTTTTTTACTCTTGTGAAATTGTATGACTATCCAGCTTCATCATTGTCGGAGGAATCCAAAGAAATGGAGGGACAAATTACAAAGGCAAGAAAATTCTTGGGGAAAAACTGCTTTTTGGTTAAATGTGTTATTTAGTATTGAGGACTGCCTAGGTGTTTGTGGAACAACTATACATGGTGTTACCGGCTTTTGTATAGTTGACAACTAGGTGTTAGACCCGTCCGATAGACGGGGAGCACATATACATAGACATTACTACACAAGTAAATTAAAAAAATGTTAATATTTGTATAAATTTTTTTATTTTTATAAAATATATAATGAATTCATTGAAAAATATAAAACACAAACATCGGCAATACTTTACCAAACGAATACACTGGTAATTTATTTAACGCAAAAAAGATTGTTAAGAAATTAAAAAAAATGAACTTTGAATTAAATAATTATATATCTTGCAATATTTCTTGGTAGACTACATTGGTAGTCTGGGGTGGAAAGGTTGAATAGGGTAGTTAAGAGATAATGATAAGGATTTTTTTTTTTTTTTTGAAAAGGTTTATGATAAGGAATGGTTATTACAAAAACAACAACCCTAACCTGTTGTAGAGGCCATCTAATTTTTTAATAAGAAAAATAAAAAATAAAAAGAGTTGGATATCAGAACCTTTATTCCTTGTCTCGGAGTGACTTTTATTTTCAGTGTTTTTATTTTATTATTTTCTTTTTTAAATATGATGCATTCTCACTTTCCTTCATTTTCTTATTTTTAGCCTCATTTGTTTGTTTGATTTAGTTATTTCTCATTACCTATCTAATAATTTATCTTTAATTAACTTACCCATTGTCAGAAATATTTTATTTAAAATATGAGGGTGGGACTATTTTTTTACCCTTAAAGAATATCATTTACCTATTTCTTTCTTCACTACTATCTTTCTAGACACTTTCACAAATGTCAAATCCATCCTGCTTATTTTTTTTTCGAATTAAAGTTAGATTTTTTTAGAAAACAATTTTAAAATTTGGTTCAAAAAATCGTAAATTTGCCACATAAGATTTAGTCATATGTGGCATGATACGATACCTTAGATTTTCTCTCTCTGGAGTTTGCTTTACTATAATATATATAGACTTCTTTTTAAGAAAAAAAGGAACCAAAAATTAAGAGCCCAATATTTAGTCGCATAGACCCCTTAATATTTGTTGAAAACACGAAATATTTAGCAATCACACAAGATTAGACAAATAAATTTATCTTATTAAAAAGTACAAATGGTGTTTTAGGAAACAGAAACTGGAATAAAAAAAATTAAGTAGATAACCAATTCAACAGTCATTGTACTATTGTTGGAATGTAGTGTGCATCAGAAATCTAAGCAAATTTTCAATGGAATGATGAGCACAACCTGAACTTGAAATTTATTACCAAGATTAGCTAAACAGAGGTGATAATCAAACTATTCTAGATTTCAAAACAAATAGCACCGTTAGAATCATGATTTCATCAGCATTCAAGAAGAACCATTTCGTCAGATTCAAAGCCGTTTCTTGATTCCGTTTCTGCATGACATAACAAACAACTTCTCAGCTATTTTGCTTTCTATCCATCTTCAGACCATTTTTGTTAGATCCCGAGTGTTGAGACCTCCTTACTTAGCGTAGTAGTTGATTCATGTATAAATTAGTATATTTATTTTTAATGCATGTACATTTTGCCATTTAGGTTCAAGAAAGATAAACTAAAAATTTGGATTTCAAAACGTTAAAAAAGAAAAAGAAAGAATAGCCATAATTGAAGCCTTTTAATATTTTTATTCTTTGTCAGAGCCATTCTTAGCCCCGCTACATCAACCCATCACCATAGTATTTTAGCTCAATTCCATATTTGAAGCTAAATTATAGAAGTTTCAGGTTGGCCTAACTTCTTTAATTATTTTAATAAATTATTAATATAAAATTCTTTTTCAGTTACGTTTTTTTTTAAAGGAGGAAGAGATCCATCCATCGGATTTGCAGGGATTTGGTCGAATCAATATAGGATTTGGATTTTTTCAGTTGCGTTTTTTTTTTTTTTTGGTTTTTATTGTTTTGTTTTGTGCATTTTTATTATTTGTCAGAGCCATTCTTAGCCCCGCTACATCAACCCATCACCATAGTATTTTAACTCAATTTCACATTTGAAGCTAAATTATAGAAGTTTCAGCTTGGTCTAACTTCTTTAATTATTTTAATAGATTATTAATATAAAATTCTTTCTCAGTTGCGTTTTTTGTTTTAGGAAGAAGAGATTCATCCATCGAATTTGCAGGGATTTGGTCGAATCAATATAGGATTTGAATTTTTTCGATTGCGTTTTTTTTGTGGTTTTTATTGTTTTGTTTTGTGCATTTTTATAGCTAAAAAATTAAGAAAATGCCACATAGGATAAAATCTTATGTGGCATGTGCTCCTTGACTTTAGATTCCTCTCTCTGGTTTTTACCTTAGTATAGTATATAGATAGATAGATTAGTATAGTATATAGATAGATAGATTATATTGCAGATAATATCCACTTCTCTGCTTAAAAGTATTCTTCAGATTGTAGTTAACAACAATTATGATATTGTGTACAAAAATAAAAATAAAAATATGATATTCATTTTGAGATATATATATATATATATTGCCAAAATCATTCACTATACGCTACATTTGTAAAGACTGAAGAGAAGCAGAAGAAAATCAAGGGTAAGAAAGGGTTTAACATTCAACTTAATTAATTAGGACCTTGAAAATTTCTTGTAAACTAATTACAACGCATGATCAAAACTTTTTTCACAATAAGAAGAACATATATAGCTATATATGTAGGCGTGGGAGAAAAATCTGATACATCTGATGATCAAACGGCTGATCAAATTATTTGACCAACATTTGATCGCGTACAAACAACCCAGGATGTGACCATTCACTAATTTAAATTCAACTGGTCAGCTTTCCTGTTTTCGTACTTTTTTTTTTTTTTTTGGTAACAAACAATATTTGAAAAATCTACCCAACATGTATATTGATCTCCGGTTGAGTGAATTTCTTCTTCGTTTTAAACCTTGATATTTGAGGAGCTCATTTGCCAGATCCTTAGGGAGGCATTAACATTGGCTTGAGTGGCATTGTTGAACAAGAAGAGCTTAGCATCATCGTACACTGCTTTTGTTGGGTATATCCTTGATGTAATTGTTGTCCTTCCACCTTGTGCAAAACCTTCCACAATCGAGTGATCAACCTGCATCAAAACGACCCAATTTAGGACTTTTAAAAAAATGAAAAAAAAAAAAAAGCAAAATGGCTAAATCACTAAGGCAGGCAGGAAAAACTGACCAATATCCTCATAGATAATTTCTCTCCATCTAGTACTGGAACAGTGCTTCCGTAGATTGTCTTCCTAACATCGTTCGCTTTAGACGACCTGAAAACGTTGTACGAACAAATGAGTAATCCAACTCAAAGAATGAATTTATAAACTTTAATTAGGACAGAAATTGGTTAATAAAAAACCTTGATTGATCAGTGCAGAAAAATGTCTTGAATTTTCCATCTGTTCCTTTAGCGATGTAGAAGTAAACAGGGGTCTGCTCAGATTGGTCATCGTTCGTGAGGACTAATAAACCAAATGGACCTAATGCTCCCCGTTGAGAAGCACCACCACTTGAACTGCAAATGTACTCTTCATCGGACCCATTTACAAGATTCAAAACCTCCTTCTCGATTCCGAATTCAGCAACAATATCCAACTGAAAACAGAGGACCCAAACAAAAAAAACAAAAAAAAATTCATGTTTTTTTTCTTCTCTGAATTATGGTCACAAAAAAAAAAAAAAACGAAGCCCACTAAGTAAAACCAACCTGAGAAGCAGAGCCAACATCGAGTGGAAGAATTGAGCCTGGTTTGACGTCGACATTGTCGAAACTCTTGAGGTTCAATCTCAACTTCTCAACTTCTTCAACTGGCCATTGTAATAAATTGCTACCTGTTTTCTGATCCAGCAATACAGTTCTCGGAACTCCCTGAACTGATGCCCAACCTTTAGCAATATCCGCAGCTTCACTATCAGTCTCAGTAATCCAACCCCACAAAATTCTTCTCCTCTTTTCCTGATCATAAAATGTCTTGGATGCATAAAATACACCATAATCATATCTCATCCCGATTCCAACATCTATTGTCGGGTCATCCGGAACCCATTTTCCCTGGACGGGATCGTACGTTCCGATGGCGTAGTAATCGTTCCTATCATCATCTAAGCTAGCCTTCATTACATGTTTAACTGTCTGGTCGTTGTATGACGTGTCGAGTCCGTTTTCGCCTACTCTAGAAACCGGGTAAAAGTCGACACATTCCCACATACCCGTACCCGGGACTCCATGGAGCACTTCGTTTAAAAGCCGGTAGGTTTTGAAGTCATCAGTGTCGTAGACCAATGAGATTCCGGTCTTGTTGAGTTTCGACCCAATGGTGATTCGCCACTTGCCGTCTTTGGTGGACCACGCCGTCGTGGGATCACGGAAATCCTTGTGATGGATCCCGGGTGGTGGGACGAGAACCGGGTTCCCTGGATACTTGACCCATTTAACGAGGAGAGGGTCACACGGGTCGGCCGGGTATGCTAGGTTTTGGACTTGGACTGATTCGTTGGTGGATCCGGTGTAGAGCATTACGACTTTACCGTCCGGGAGGATGGTGGCGGAGCCGGTCCAGACTCCATTGGCGTCGTACCATTGGTCGGGAACCATGGCAATGGGGAGATGGCGCCAATGGATCAGATCCTTGGATACTGCATGGCCCCAAACAATGTTCCCCCATATGGCTCCGAATGGGTTATATTGGTAGAAAAAATGGTACCATCCCTTGTAGAGTAATGGACCTAAATATGACACCAAAAATTAGTTAAAAACAAGTCACAATTTAGTTACTACTCAATTAGTAATTTTTTTTCTTTAAAAAAGTTGTATAACTGCCTACTACCATTTATCCGCCAAATGACCAACAAAGGTCATTCGGATCTTTTCATTAATGTTTACAACTATGTGAGGGTTCTATTTGTGGTGTCATTTATTACAAGATTATTATAGTTTCTACAGTAGTTAGGGGTGTTGTAGTCATACCCAAGGAAAATTATCCTATCTGCTAAATATTACTCCCATTATCATCAGTCTTAAGCAGAACATATCTAGTTATCCACATCGCTTCATTTCAGATATTCAAGCAATATTTGGCACACTAGAGAGGAAAAGAAACAAGCAATTGTTTGAATTGGTTGCAAATTGAAAATGAAAATCTTATGGATCATGTGGATGAATATGGATAACTATTTTTTTATTTATTTATTTTTTTGTAGTCTTTAAATAAACATCAGATTCTGGAATTTAAATCTAGTATTCTTATCATAGTTTTGGACGTAATTACAAATGCTTGTATTAGCTACATTTCATATATGCACATTAAAATATTCCATTTATCCTAAAAACATTATCCTGTTTTAATGAAAATTTATATTAAAAATAAAAAAATAAACACTACAATCATTTTGAGACAAATGAAGTAACGTTTATCCTCACTAATAAAGGCTATTCGCATATATAATGTTTTCTATCTCTATGTGAATTCAGGTAACATGTATTAATGAGAACTACCATAAATATCTTACTACTAAGTAGTGTCGATAGATGGTCATGAACTCAAATCATTAGAAAAATATCAAAGATAGTTATAGCTTTAGTATCAATGTCACGTAGTAAATTTATCTGAGAAAAGTAATCTCTTCTTTTTGGAACCAAGAAATTACACGTGAATGCATTATTGAATGTAAAATAACAACTAATAAATTTTGAAAAAAAAAAATAATAACAACATTGACATTGAGACTTACCGTTGGGATCTATAGCGTTGAAAATTCCCCCACGAAAACAATCCCAGAAACATGCCAATGAAAAGGACCAAAACAAAGAAACCAAATTAGAGTCTGAATGTTATTACCCAAGAGAACTAATCAAATTAAATTAAAACCATCAAAAAAAAAAAAAAAAACTGAAAATGACCGCAAGAAAGTTCATAATAGAAATGTAACATTAATTAACATACCATTCATCCAATTCTTCTTTGGCTGGAAATGAAAGCCGGTCCTTTGCCAAGCCAACAATCTATTCGTCCACGAGAACGGAGATTTTCCGAACAAATGACCGGATGACTTGGCAGACACCCCTTCGGCGAGCCCACGTGGCACCCCCTCCGCCGGCGTGATCCTTCCCGGCGACGTCCACGTCGTCTTGGTCGCCGGCTGATCAGAATAAGAACCTGACGACATCCTACCCCCTACATATCTCGACAACGAGATCTTCCCACAATCTCCATTTCTATCCCCAAAAGCTACGAATAGCCCGGCGGCCAAAAACCCGGCTAAAAACAGGAAGACGATCCTAGACGGCCGGAGGCGTTTCGCCGGCCGTTCATCCTCCTTGTTGTTACCATCTAAAAGTGGGGTGAGATTGTTGTTGTTGTTTTTTGTTGATTCATTCCAACTGGAAGCCATTTGTTTAATATAACTTCTAAGTTTTTCTGCAATGAAGATGATGATACGTATATATACAAGTCGGAGAAAAACCAGGGAACTTTTTGGAGAAATTAAGGAAAAAAATATATGTACAATTAAAAGGGATGAAATCTTTTGTTTTTTTTTTTAATAATAAAGGGCGAGTAACTTTTTAACAGGAAGATTGGCTGTCAGATTTGGATTCATCCATTGTCTTATAGTTGATGTAAAGGAAGAAAACAGACATTTATTGTTAAGGTTTGCTGGTTTTCTGGTTTGGTAAATGGCAGGAAATTAAAGAACGAAAGAAAGAGAGAGACTCAGAGAGAATGGTGTCATTCATTTTTGTGGAGAGTTTTTCTGCATGGAATGGAAGCAGTTTTTTTTAGGTGAATGGATTCTGTTTCTTTTTCCTTAAAAAAAAAAAGGAGGAAAATAGTCACTAGAAGAATGTCTTCAAATCTCCATTGGTGACAACTGCGTGACTGTGTGAGGGAAATCAACTATACTAATGTCAAAAATGGAACTTATTTGGCTCGGATATTTTATTTTTTATTTCAAATGATATCTTTTTAAATATGTATTAAAAAAATCTATATGTATTTCAAATGTATTTATTACTCATTATACTTTTCTGGGGAATTTATATTTCAATTTATACCTCAAACTCAAATGGTTAAAACTTAAAAGGGGATATAAGAATCAATGCTAACAGTGTGATTAAAATTAGCTTCTTTAATTTTAATTTAATTTAAATTTATGGTAAGGGAATCATGATTAGTTGAAAGGCAATTCAAATATATATGAGTTTCAGATCTTCAAATTAAGACAACCGACATTTTAAAACTTTCCATAAAACACTGATTTGATTCATCTCAGACTGCGCTGAGAATGTGCACTGATTTTCCGATGTGGCCCTCAAGGCATTTATCATTTAATTAGGTCTAAACTATTTATTGCTCAATATATTTACTGTATTAAATAATTTTGGAACGGAACAAGTATGAGTTGGGGAAGAGAATCATGTGGAAGGACTTGACATATTCATAGCCATCCGAGGGGAGAATGCAGGAATCCATGTGCTTGACCACATGCAATGGACAATGTGATCCGGATGAGTCTGGTTTAAGCTCTTAGTTTTGATGGATTCATAGAGAAGGCGCACTTGCGTTTTTGGGTAGTACATAGTTGAAGATGTAAGATGACACCAGACCAAGAATCAAGAAAGATAAAAATTAATTAAACAGTACTGATCGTTTTTATATGTGCTCAATAATTCATCAAATCATTATAATGTGACTATATAAATCTAAAATTTGGACTGGAGTAAACTCAGGATAATTGTCGCCTAGTTACTATATTACACATGTCCATGATCTGCTGTTTCCCATGTGCATTTTCCTCACATTTGAGATTGAATCTGATCACCGACTAGCTAGCTAGCTAATACGATCAGATCCTAATTGCCTGATTTATGCTGTTACCTAAATGAACAAACTAATGTGAAGTGAACTTCGTTTGTGACTTTTGAATCCGACCAAAGTTAGCCAGTTACAACGACGTTTACCGAGTCTCCGGTTACCGATAGCCACTCTCCATTGAAAGTCACTTCGAATCAAAATGGCCTTAAGCAGTTCTTTCAGTCCTTGAAATATGAAGCGGTATTGTACTAGCTCCGGCCCCCTCCCCGCACCAAAAATAAAATTAAATTTTGATATAAACTAGCTGGGACACTGATCCTTCTGATTTTCTTGGCTTTATTTTTGGACTACCAAAGGGATGGAAGTATGGCGACGGAGAGTGATGGCATTTGTCACATGTTCAGTGGCTAAAAAATTAAAGATAATAACGTGCATTCGACAATTCGGAAACTATGTTTGAGCAGCATGCAATAGGGGGGATCTACATCACAGAGTAGACACAAGAAGAGCACAAAGGCACATGCTTATCCAAGCCGCCATTGGTTAAAACCTGAACATGTTTTGAGCTGCACTAGAAAGAATTGGCGGAAAATGTGACAAATGTAAGACCATAGGTCCAAATTGTAGGAAGAAAAACAGTTCTGACAGTATGTTTCTACATTGATGGTAAATTGAAAACATCATATGATACGACGCATCCCTCAGTCTCCGTTGTAATCTCTCAGCTAAGTAATTGTGTCCCAATCCAGATCATGCAAATTAACAACATAACCAGCTGATGTCTCAAACAAACACTGCTGAATGCTGATGCCTGACACAAGAGGCATGTTTACCATTCCTAAGCAGGCTACCTCTTTTCCTGCTGAAACTCAAGATCTTGGATATCTAATGAAAGAAAACCTTGTAACTCAGAATTGCATTTTATGCCATTTCTAATGATGAACTATATATGCACAAGGCACACAAATCGCAGCACATGCTGTTAAAAGTGATGGTGGCAATCTTCACATAGAAAAAAGCTGATTGAGTTGACTATGTAACTTAGAACACCAGTTCTGAAGAACCAAGATTGAAACCATTGAAAATGGAGGTCTGTGCATATCCTGTAGTCCCTCTACTTCGAATTGTCGTCAAACAGTAAACCCAAAATGGAAGGGGGAATTAAAGAAGTAAAACGGGAGGTCCTGGCAAAGACACTGAAATCTGTAAGGACTAAGACCTCGTTTGATGAAACCAGGTCTAGTTAATTTATGACCCCACTTCATACATTTGGTGGTGGCCATATCTTTCCAAACAATTCCTCCACCCGCTTTGCTTGAGTAATATAGCCTTCCATTCCAGTGGTGAGAAGCTCCACAGCAGCAGGTCCCATGGACGAGGCAAAGCTATATTGGTCCCACTTCACCAGCTGAAAATAATGACAATAAACAATGAACTCCAAGAGATTGAAAGCGACAAGATATATTAAAAGCAAATGAAGTATGGTAAAGCAGCTAGAAATTGGTGGAGAAGGTCGACGGCAGAATGTCCTCAGTTTTTCCATAAATAAGGACGATAACTGACTTCATGTTCGCTCAATTATGGTTTCATAAGACAAACGGATGGTTCCCCAAAGGTAGATGATCCCTGAGGTGGAACTTAAATGATGTATAACTATGTCATAGGCTTATTAGGCGTCCATAACATATTTATTATGCTCACATCTCAGTCGCACCACAAAAACAAAAAAAAAAAAACATTTTCTTTTTTTAAAGTATACTGAAGCAGTGCAGTTACATACTTTATTGTGTCAAGAATCCACAACTACGGAAGATATATAAAAAGTCTTATGCTTGAGACTGTACCTCTTCCTGGCTAAAATTGTAGGTAGAAGCAGATTGTGGGGATAGCCTTCTTACAAGAGAGTATTTCTCGTCAGGAGGAGTGACAGACTCCTTTAGAGACTGCAATATCTTCAACGGAGTGATAATATAATCAACCCTGCAAGAGGTAGGAAAGAGTTGAGTTCCAGAAAACTAGAGATGGATGTGTCTAATTAAGGACTTCCTTGTCCAAATTACAATAACAGACTTCTAAATTTACCCCAAAAGGTTGAAAACATCCTGCTTGTTTCGAATTGCTGCTGCCATCAGCTTTGACTTGTATCCGTGTTTGTGAATGTAGTTATAAGCTTTTGTAACCTGTAATGATAAAGAATGTAGGTACACTTAAAAAACAAAGAGGGAAGTGGGCTCAGTTTCACTACAAGTACCATCAATTGTCCTTTAAGAATATCTTTATACCAAGTTGTTTGGTGTACATCAGGAGACGAGCTTCAAGGTCATCTTTTTTTAAGTTGGTTTTATTCATTTTTCTGGTTGATGAATACGAACTTATCTTAATTTTATTTTATTTTTTTGTTCACACCACTTTTGCTCATGCTGCAAGGCATTCTTATTTTGGCAGCGTAAATGGAATAGTCCACCACATTTTCATAAGTCCAAGTATAGCAATCAAACAAAAAGCATTCAAACTAACCAAAGCCAATCCAGGATCTTCTCCTCTTCTTAGAGCGCTCTCTATTTCACGGTCACCACTATGGTTTCGTGCCCAATCCTGACAAAATACAACTTGTTACGACAAAGAGTGAAAATTCTTTTAGAATGTAATTCATCATTGTAGGAGAAAAATACCCGAAGGCGACCAACAAAAATCTGAATAACCGACGCACCAGCTTGAGCTGCAGCAGCAGCTTGACAAAAACTGAAAGTAGTACAAACAAGTGATTTGTTTAAACATGCAATAAAAATATTGAAAATGTAACAGCAGTAAATCATCATCCAAGATGTTGATAAAAGTTAGAAGTAGATAGCTACTAGCATGAAGTTTAATCTTGATCATTAATCACTGAATAAAATAACCGTCATGATCCAATATTTTAGACAACAAAAGACATTAGAAATAAAAACTCCAAAATGACACAAAACATTTCATCTAAAAAGAAGGATCTCCAAGGACAACAGTGTTTAGGGTTACTCATTGCAGACAAGGGATATCAAAACATGTTAGGTCACAACAGATAATAGCTCATAAGCAGCAACGGGAAGAATGCATCTTGCTCTGAGAACTTATACTGGGAAGTAGAAATCATTTTACTAAACACGCTCCAAATAACTAAGTCATGAATGCTTAAGGTCACATATTCACCAAGGAAAACATATTTTGGCATGCAGTCAGAACTTTTTTCATTTTATTTTTTATTTTTATCAGACAATTGACTGTTGCATTTATCAGAGAGGATCAAGAGGATTCCATCTAATACCTGTAAACAAAGGTCAAATGGGTTTGTATACCCTCTGATTCTAGTATACTTGAAGCTTCAATCCCCTACAAGGAACATTTAAAGAAATTGAACAAGGAGACAGAGAAAGAGCAGACCCGAGATAGAACCAAAATAATTCAGGCATAGAATGCTAGAATCTACAGCTTTTCCTTCTTCCTCACCTGCCAGGTAGAAGGTATTTTGAACAGCAAGCGCTCTGGAGGAACTTGAACCTCATTGTACATTTGTAAGAGGTCATGTACCTACACAGCAAGCAACACGTAGTGAAGGTTTAAATGGTGAATAAATAAACAACCACCAAATAAGCATCATATATATCTTTTTGAATGATTCATTTATTGAAAAGCATGACATGTGACAAGATCATGCAAGCTGCCAATTTAGTACAACTTCCCCTTTATCCAAAGTTGAGACAGGCCATGCTAAAAAAATTTAAAATGTGTACTATTTATTTAGACAGGAAATACTATTTATACTGAAGGAGAATAAAAATTGGAAAAGGTTGGAGAGGTATAAACTTCATACATAGTTGAAATACATGAAAGGTCATATTCTCAACAATGCTTTTTGACTAGAAAATAAAGGAAGAGGATAAGTGAAGGGTTTTATAATTTAACCTTCCGAACAATTCCATGCGTGTCGTAAGCAAGACGAGCATCAACTTCAGTAGAAACCCGACCAGGCACCAGCTCTGCTAGATCACTGCCAACATTCACTAAAGCCTGTAATTTCAAAAGTCCACATATCACACATAGACTTTGAAAGAGTAAGGTCATCTGAAAAAGCATCACACTTAGAGAACATCAAAAACCAACCTTATTAAAGAAACACGACATCCGGAGATCAGAGTTCTCTAATCCATAGCACGCTGAATCTGCTAACGCAGTATCCACAGCACTCTATGACCAGAATACACAGAAATGCGTTACCATGATAGTAAAAAATAAAGTTTATCTACAACAATACCATGTCTCTTAACAGAACAGATGGCTTTAAGAAACCTTTTATGTTTCCATCAACTGCAACCATTATCGCATTGGACAAGGTAAGCCAATATAAACCCCATACGCATTCATTTGCATTTATCAACCTTCAGATGGTGATAACTCATAAGCCATAGCCCTTGTATAGTGACTTGCATCAAGATTAATCTTTAACCAACAATAGTTCTTACAGTTGGCTAATAGTAATTCATATGAACACATAAAAATCAATCCTACTTTAAATGCAAGCCATTCTAGTATATTCATCAGACAGATAGATAAGTAATAGAATCTAACCATACGTAATAGTTACCCTGAATTTAGTATCAGGAAGACTGCAGATTCCCAAGAGCAGCGAGGAGCTAACGGTAGCAGCAGTTGGAGGAAACCTATAAAACAAAACAAGATCACTTGTTCAGCCAGTGATCCTCATGACGAGTTCATTTTTTAGCTCAATATATAACATAGTTTGAAAAAGATAAAAAAAAATTCCAAACCTCTCGAAATCATCGAAAATTACAGTGTCGGGTACGATCTCACTGTGACTCGTCACAGCATCCAACTCGGTAGTCGCACCTGATTTCATATAGGCCCAAGTGTCAATCCAACAAACATCAAATATACGGGGGGGTGGGGGGGCGAACCGAAGGAACAAATAAACCAAAAAAAAAAAACTATTACCAGTGTCGAGAGAAGAGGAAAAACCAGAGGAAGCTCGAATTGAAGGAAGTGATCGATTACTGGTGAAGCTAAGCGTTGGCTTCGCTGATTGGATTGCAAATTTAAACTTATTATCCTGTTGATTTCCATCCAATTGTTGTGATAATCAGATCAAAAATTATCCAGAAGAAATGAAGATAAACTGAAATAAATGTGAGAAATGAGGAATGAGGCGGACCTGAAGAGCGGAGGAGGAGGAGAGAGGGGAGGAGGACGGCGGAGAATACAAAGAGATTGATAACATTTTTGTTGTTCTTCTTCTTCTTCGGCCTTTCTTCCAAGAGTTTTACACTCAAAAAGTGTGACTGTGTGTGAGTTGGGGAATTTTTATTTTTTTTTCACTTTAAGTTTTTAGCTCTCAGATGCTTACTATATTTGATTATATATATTCCTTTTTTTTTTCTTTTAAATATATCATTGTGGATAATTCATAATTGAGTCATATCCTAGGATTCTTTACGTCTATTTTTTGTCTCTACATTTTTGGTAAAACTTGAATAGAGAATTTTGCTACAAAACTCGAGTACCATAACATTTTGGCACACACTTGACAGCCGGAAGTTGTGGTGATCAATGAAAATACTTCTTAGAAAACCACAAACCAAAGAGTACTTCTCAGGACATGTGAAGAAGCACATTTTCAAAAAACGAAATCAACAAGCCAAACCCAAGCCGGCAAATTTGATGAGTGGAATATTGAAGAACACAAACAAAACGTCTAGAACTAAAAATCATTCATACCAACTATCGTAAATATTTGTGGTATGAAATTGAAAAACATTGATAGAATGTCTCATAATATGCATTATTCAGACGACACTTTATAACGATGATTTGTGTTTATATTTATATTTACTTCCTCCAATGTTGTTACAAGGTGCAAATAAATAGTAAAAAAAGACCGCTAATTGTAAAACTATGTTTCAAATATCTATAACACTGGTTGAAGCAAAAGATTTATTAGAAAGAAACTGAACACAGGGTTAAAATAACAATGATAAAGGCTACTGTACAAAATTTCATAATCCACACTTAAGTTTGTACCACACGATCCAGCTTATTAGCGTTTGCTTCTGCTGAAAATCAAAATCTAAGGAATACTCAAACGACCATGAAGAATTGAAACAATGACCAAAAACAAAAAAAAAAACCAGACTTATTCCTTCTTCTAGCTTTGATCATCAAGAAGTAGTAGTAGTAGCTCTGTATAACCTACTTATGCACTATCTATTTCCAAAAACTAGATCTTCTTTGGATCCTTCTGTTCCTTCATCTTCACCAGAGCCTCCAGGAAATCTTTCACCTGTGCAATAACATCATATCATAGATACATCTCAGTTGTTCTGGTTTGAATTTGGATGACGAGGGTGGAAAATTCGGATTATCGAAATCATACAAACCTCTGAAGTATCCCTGAGAGAAAAGAAAGCTTTGCTCTCTTTAGGAACCGTGGACACTATAATCCCATAGCCTCGGCTTCCCTCTCGCAATACCTTTACGAAACAGAATGGTACATTGCAGTCAACAAAAAAATTTACACGATACAAGGACAGAAAAATTGCAGCGAAAAACCAGTGAATGATATTTGTGTTTGGGATTTACCTTGAAAGCATCTTCATCTGTTCTATCATCTCCAATATAGATAGGAAGCAAGTCATTTTTATCCCCAAGGCCTGCAATTTTTTTGCACCAGCGACGGGTTATAGATATAAATTGCAGATACAAAACAGGTTCAATCAAAATTCCAAGAATGGAATTACTAACCCAATGATTCAAGAAGAAATTCGACTGCTTTGCCTTTATCCCAGTCGATCACAGGACGGACCTCTAAAACCTGAGGGAGAATAATAAAAAGTTTTAAACTAAGTTCAACAAATAACAAACAAACTTAGAAAAAAAGGAAGAAAGAAAATCAAGACACTAGAAGCCCAACCTTCCGTCCATGAGTTAGTCGTAACCTAGGGTAGTTGTTCAAGACATCATGAACACGCTGTGCAATGATAGGCCAACTCTGAAGCGAAAATGCAAGAAACAAAATCAGAATGACGTGAGGGAGAACATAATGACATAACCCAAAAAAAAAAAAAAAGATAATGACATAACCGAAATCAGAATCAGAGGGTAAAGACAGTAACCTTCTCAGCTACATTGCGGTAATGTACAGATGTGCAGAACTTGTGGTTCTCAACTTTTGCACCTTTAATATCTTTTGTATTCTCAACAAGGGTTCTAAAAACCTTCAACGCAGAAAGATCATAGGATCATTAGACAATTACAAGTAACAAAGTCCAGGTTTAGTGAGCATGAGAGATCTGCAATTGCAACACACCTCGTCAATCATTGGCAGAAACTCACTTGCAGGCTGAAATAGATTAACCTCTTTGCTCTGAAACACATTGAGACACATTTCAATGTTTTTGAAAGGCTAGAATAGTGATTCAAAACCACAGTTTTCTTTTATGAGTCATGGGATATGTAGGAAGAAACTAATGAATAATTTTTACCTGGTCAGTAGATTTAGTGACACTAGTATGGTTAATGGACTGTGAGCCGCTGTCGGGGAACATGATATCCATGCCGTGACTACCAGCATAATAAAGTTCTGTTAGTCCTACCAATTCATAAACCTGGAAATCAGGTAAAGCAAAAAGAGCATGAATCAGTCCACTCAATAAGAAAATGCTCCAAACAAAATTACAGTAAAGTAACAGGCAAGCTCAACATCAGTACAAAATGGTAAAAAACCAGAAACAAATTTCAGTATTAGTTTCTCCCACCGTCTACCCACCTTATCGCGGCTTCTTCCACTGATGATGGCTGTTGGGAAATGCTTTGCTACGTTTCTAACAGCTAAGCGCATCTGAAACAGACATCATCGTGTCATATAGTAAAAAGCATGAAAGATCACCAAAACCTCGAACAGTTGTAGCTACTTACATCAGCAGACATAAAAGCACGATCAGGATCATCGACAATGGGTGAAAGGGTTCCATCATAATCTAAAAATATCACTATCCTACTATTCTTTGCACGACTCATGATTTTGTCGAAGGAGCCAAGAGCCGATGGATACTTGATCTACAAATAAGGTAGAGAAATATACGGTGATGCACATTGTAAGGAAGACTAATAATCAGGAATCTGTTTATTGGTGCAAAGAGACTTACCATCCAAGAACGATAAGCAGTCTCGCTACTATCATCTGATACAACCTCCAAATTTACTGATTTCATACTCTTCTTTCGAGGAGGGGAAGAAGCTTTCATGGCATCTAGCCAACCATTAGAACGAACATCATCAAGCTTCACCGGCCTTCTCTTTGGGATAGCCAACACACTCGTGGAAAATGATGGCCCTCCTTGTGTGCAAGGCAACAGACCTCGAATGCCCAATCTCGATTTGTCCATCAGAGCAGGATCAGTAAGAACAGGAGAAGGTTTTGAAGACTTCAAGTCCATCAAAGAAGGCAACTGTCTCAGCTGTGCACCTAATGATTTACAAAACTAAATTTCCTAAGAAATGACTTCTCTTTTATTGGGATCTCTATCCAACTCTTTTATCAATGAAAAACCAACGCTTTAGTGTTTTCTTATCACTGCTACCAGGTGAGCAGTCCATCAAGCACGGGCTTCCTGAAATCTGCTGACCATCAAATTCAAACAGCAAATTGACAACATAGTTGCAAAAAACAAAAGCTATCCATTCAAACCATTAAAAGACCAGTGAAGTACCTCATTTCGATGACTACAACGCATTTAAATCAGAAACCAGAGCATTTTCCTTCACATAAATGTGATGCAGAGAAGTAATGGACCCCCAAAACCACCAACTAGGACTCCTCTTGCCTGAAAGGGCAAAGCATGATTAGCACAAGCAATTTCCGTCCCATTAGCACTTAACAAATCCAATACAAACAACACAGCAGAGGCAGATAACATAGCCAAAATTGTGGAAACTGACCCTTTAACCTTCTAACTTATGAACTGCCAAGTGCCAAGCACACAATCATTCACATGCAACTTGCAGCCAAAGAACAAAACTTTTTCCAGTGACTGACTACACACTTTGGCCATTTCAGTACAAAAATTAGAAACTTAAGTCTGACACCAGTAAACAGAAAAAAAAAACGTGACAAATCACAAGGATATCTCAAACAACTCAAAGAAGCCCTTAACTCAGATATTTAATTTTGCATCAGTCCTTATACCCAAACTTAGCACAAAACGAATGTAGCAAACATATTGGTGAAAAGAATCTCCAGCTCAACAGAACTACCTACCCAATATCACTAAATGTAATTGCAACTGAATATCATCAAGCCACAAATTTCCAACATTAATCAAGTTCAACACAAGTTTTTGAGCCCATATAACAGTAGTAATCAAATCACTTCTAAGAGAATGAAAAGCAATGAGCAAAGAGAGAAAAAGTGTTCGAGGCAAAACAAAAAACTTCATTCTGGCAATTATGAATCTGAACTGAAAGACGTAACAGTGTTCAACTAAGGGTGCATGAACCTTGTTTAAGCCGGTGGTTGTACCCGATTCTTTAATGCTTAGATCAATTCCTTGAAGGGATGTAATGGTTAAAGTGTTACACTCCCACAAAGTAGTCAAAAAGCCCATTTGTATTGAAGAAAATCATGCACCTCGGAACTAACACAGGCAAAAAGGCAGCAAAAAGATCCCTAAGAATTACTTGTAAACATGAAGGAAAAGAGGAACCAACAGAACAGAACCAAAGGTTTCCTGTTAGAGTACAAAAACTCTGTTTGTTGGCTCCATTTTAATGGGATCATAACTATAAGTTTATTTTATAACAATTTTTTACGGTCAATTGTAACTTTGACCTGTCAACTAAAAGGAGACATCTCCAGTGCATATCCTCTTAAAATCATAATCTGCAGCTTTTCAGACAAGTAAAGTGCTGCTTACTGAGCTCTCTGCCCTTTCTATTTATCAAAGAAAAGTCCAAATTTGCAAAGCAACCCTTTTTCCTTTCATTAAAAAAAATGTCAAAACTGTCAAAAGTTGCATCTGGAATTACAGAACTACAGGGAAAAGTTAAGAAGAGGGGGGGCTACTCAGAGTACTAACTTCTAACGCACCATTTACTTTTAAAAAATGAAAATGAATATTCAGTTTCAGAAACCATGAGTATCATAATGGAATCAGAGACATGGTTAGCAGTTTTCCTGCAGATCCGGCATAAAATCATCGATTGCAGACAAAAACAAGCAAAAACCTTCCATTAAACACAATAATCATCTTCTAATGTCATCACCTTTAACTCAAATGATGTGACTCGTCAACCATCCAAACTAATATTTTAAAGCTACTGACCACAGGCCACTTCATTACGTGTGTGAATGTATCCAAGAGAGATATAGATCACAGATTAGGGAAAACAGAACTGGCCTAAAACCACATGGAAGCACTGGTAAGTGGTAATCATTGTTAATAAAAAAAGATTAAAGAATTATTAGTCCAAATATTTCTCATAATGATTACCAAATTTTGATTGAGCACCCCTGTTATCCCTTTAGCAGTTCTGGACAATTTCTGGGAGTTCTTTCTGACCATGAGATTTTTCCAATTCTTACAAAGCAGAAATGGTTTCTTTAACAAATTACAAACACACAAGAAAAATGTACGGCCTCAAAGTTAACAACTTGATTTTAGAGGGAAAAAGAACAGCTACTTTTAACAACTTAATCTGGCATTTCCTATTCAAAAAGTCACAAACTCATTCATACGTGAGGAAATCAAAAGAAGACATTTTTGCAGAAGAACTCTATATTAATTATTGGCCAATAACACGAAGATTAGGCCAAATTATAACAGCAAAACGTTAAAATGTGTACATTTCCAACAGAAAACTGATTAAGACACATAATCAATATATCAACATCTTAGAGCAACCGACAACATATTATATTTTACGAAATAAACGACCGGTATCATCAGCTAAACAATTGTGCTGTCACATCAATATAATCGTATAAAAAACACCAATAAATTATGAATACTAACCAAACGTCCACGTGTATGAGCACATACAATCGAACAAAATTTTTACTAATCTATTCAGCCTATCTGTAAATTTCTCGGGCATTTCTTGAACTTTAGAAAACCAAACACACGAAAACATGCCCCATCTCAGAGACAGTTGCAATCAATGATGCATCAATTTGATTTTTTTAATTTTTTTTTTCCAAAGAAAACCCAGAAATGGAAATTCAAAAAAGATTGAAACTTTGCATGAAATAACAGAAACCAGAACCACCATTAAAGCCGTATACAATTGAAAGAACAGCACCCCTCTTCCCAAAAACAACTTTGGAGCCTTATTTCAATGGCATTCAAAATTACAGTGATTGAAAAATCATGGGTTTATGAAAGAAAGCTAAAACCAAAAAGAGGGAAGAAGAAAAAGGGAAAAAAAAAAAAAAGAAATCTTGAATATGTTATACAAAATTTTACCTGCTTCAAAAGGGTTAAACAAAGTTGAAATCTTTATCAAGAAATCATCAGATACAGGCAACCATCCAAAGTCGAAAAATAAAAATAAAAATAAAGAAATGATATAAACCAAGTTCAACTTTTTGATGAATGACAAAAGGCAAGAAGATGAAATAATGATGTAGGAAATGAATGTACCTGGTAGAAAAGAGGCGGTTAATGGTTATGGAAAAAGAGGAAAACCCTAGGAAAATACTACAAAAATTGTTTTAACAGAAAAAAAAAAGATACTGGGAGGGAGAGAGAGAGAGAGATGAAGAGGGGAAAAGAGGTGGAAAAGCAGAAATTATAAACAAGAAAAGCGAGAGGGAGAGAGAGAAAAGAGGGGAGAGAACAGAAAGAGAGAAAAGAGAAGGAAGAAGAAGTATTTGAAGCCGAAAAGTTTGGGTATTTATAGCATTTGATGGCCTCTGAACAACTCTTAAAATTAAAGACGTGCCAAACAAGGCAATCTCCGCCTCCTGCTTCCGGTTGGTTGTTGTTGATTCTCCCCCGATTCACAGCATTTGATCCCAAGTTCCCCCTCCCTTTTATAGTTTTCACCTTCCACCACCATAATTGTAATGTTCTTTTTCCGTCCCAAAAATATTATCTAGTTTGGGACGAACAGTATTTTTTACCCGTCACAAATTAATCACACAGATTTATCATATAAAATACCTCATAACAATTATATAAATGTTATGGAGATTATTAAGATGGCATTCAAGCAATAGATTTGGGAAAACACGAGTTTACATTAAGGATTGATAATTCAAACTTGAATTTTATAGTTCTAGTAGAGAAAATGAATCGTGCTTGACTCGTGCAAATACAGTACTTTTTAAGTTTTAAAACGGTTTAATTTGTTTGAGAAGATTTGCTGACTTTTGAGAAACAAGACTCAAAAATTATATTCTCGTGACTTCTTCGGTAATTTGAAAGATTCTAGGAGTTGGACATTGGCTCAATATTTTGGGGTGGCTTAAATTTTTTGTACAAAATAAATTTTGAGTGTTGGTGACTGATCAATGCGGTTAAGATACGGTGTCTGTAATACTTTACGCGTTGATATAGACATTAATACTCCCTCTGTCCCAAAATTATTGTCCAGTTTGAAATTTCACTTTTAGTACAATTTAAACTAGAAATGAAAACCTAAACTGGACAATAATTATAGGACGGAGGGAGTATAATATTATCAATGATTAACTAAATCATCCAGTTACCATAATACCGTCTTTTGCTCATTTAAAATGGCTCCATGCACTTGGACATGTAATATTGTAATTAGACATCCAATTCACAAAGTTAAGTAAATCGTTAGATATATTTTCCAAGCAATTTGTAATTTTCATATGAACTTTTAAACCAAATTTCAGCTGTGGGCCAAAATAACAGATTATGAAACCTTCAGGTATGTTTGACCACACTTTTCGCAATCTTAACGTATTGTACATACTTCGCAAACAATTTATATTTGTTCTTTAAGCGAGCGCAAATTCTTCTTTTAATATTTCTACTACCGTTTTTCTCCATTACAACAAATTTTATTTGATTTTCAAATGAAAAAAAAAAGGTTGAAAATGCTACATATCATTCAAGCTACTAAATATCTTCAAAATGTACACACCGAAATAATTAAGGGAAGTATTAATTTTGCTAAAAGAAAAAAAAAACATTTTATATTGTCCTTAAAAAAACGAGTTCTATTAGTTTAATTAAAACAGTATGAACAGATTAAAGAAACTAGCATAAACGTTTACATGACAACGTACCTAGTCAGCATGAATGAATACAACATATCAAATCATTTTCAACATGAGTTACCAAATACCTCATCAATTACGTTATGGAGTATCATAACTTTTGAAATATAATATATTTATATATAATTTTTCATTTTCTACATAATAAACCGAAAAGAAAAATAAACATGGATCTTTCACGAATTCAATTAGGACATCTCTAGCTCCCATAATGATTGTCCAAGAAGAATTTTTTTTAGTACAATTTTTACAATTGTTTTGGGATATTAGACTCCCTCTCTCCCAAAATGATTGTCTACTTATTTTTACTACATTCTTTTTAATCATTTTTGGACAAATGGAGTTGATAATTATATCAATTTTATTATATTTCTTTTGTTCCAAAATGATTGTCCAATTTAGTTTTAAAATTTTAGTACAATTTGACTGAAAATAAAAATTAAAATTAAACAACCATTTCAGGACTAATAATAGGATATATGTTTATCTGCCTAAATCATTCTTGAATAAGTAAGACATCAATAATGAAAACATCAACGGTTAAAAGCTGTATTTAAGCTTACTCCATTTCTACCAAGTGCTATCGCTTCTCTACCATAGGTACTTTTATTCATTGCGGATATATTGTTAGGCAAACTAAAATTCAGTTATGGTCGGATCGTATAACTAATGTTAAAAACATTTTATTTATGATTTATTGTACGAGAGTTTCAGTTCATATACATCTCGCCTCGAATTTGTTCTTTTTGCCTCAACAAAAATAGGAAGATGTCATCGGACCAAGTAAATCTATCTTCAATTTCAATGTGGTTTGTTGGAGAATTACTTCCCTTCTTAAAATCTATCTTCAATTTCAATGTGGTTTGTTGCCTCAACGAAACTTCTGAACAAAGCTTGATTATGTCACCAATTATAGGACAAACTACAAATAAGTGACCCTCTTGATTAAATAATAGGAAATTGGAAATTATCACCCAAACGAAGTCCCATGCTAGTCCATGTTCCGTATATGGGCTAGTTTTGTGCATACATTCATCCATACACCATAATTACATTAGAGATTTTTCGTACCGTTGTATTAGTTTAAAATAGTAAGAGGTGTGTCTGGCAAACTAATTGACAAAAATCTCTCTATTAATTAATTGTTATGTAAAATGAGTAAGTTGTATCATTGATACTTCTATCTATAATAATACGGAATTTGTTTTAACACATCAAAATAGGAGTTAAGATTAGTTCCAAACTATAACAAATATTCATTGTCATTAAAGAATATGGTTCAATGTTTTAGTTCAACCCGAATAAAATTATGACTATTTGTTAAGCTGATACGACACGCTCTGTTGATTGTTATGTAAATCTAGCAGTTCACAATTGTACATTAGACTACTAGTTACACACAATTTTTGTTAATGTGTTAGTTTTGCCACAGTAAAAATTATGTCTGATGATCGACAATTATGTCTGATGATCGACTGACTGTTGATTGTTACGCAGACCGATAGACTGGACATTTATTCATCTGCTATTGTTTCACCATAATGAATAATGCAATGTGATGATTTGTTAGTTTCACTGCGATGTGAGTCACTGCTGACAATCAAGACAGGAATCTTTATATAGACCGAATATTTATCCATCTGTCAATGTTTCACCAGAATGAATGAATGCAATGTGATTATCTGTTAGTTTCACTGCAATGTGAGTCACTGCTGACAATCAAGGTAGGAATTTTTATACTGGCCTGCCATTGTTACACCAGCGTGGATGAATGAATAAAATGCAATGATCTGTTTGTTTCACCGCACTGTGAGTCACAGCTGACAGCTGAATTGACACGAATCTCTGAATAAGATCGACAGACATAATATTTATCCATCCGCTATTGTCACACCAGAATGAATGAATGAATGTAACGTGATGATCTGTTCATTTCACCGCGTTATATATAAGTCACAGCTCATAACCAAATTGACACGAATCTTGAACAATTACAGTATATATTTACTGTATAAGTATAGAGCGATTAACATTACATCACACAATTGTTTTGTCCCAGATGTTGTATTAATTTTTGTCGCACGATTTGCAAATGCTGTCATTAAAGATGTGCTTTCATGAAAAGACGTGTTTAGTTAGTCCGATGGGAAGAGTTTTTTAGTTTCTTCTAATCAAATGAAAGAGTACTGCTCAAAAGTAATTAGTAAAATCTCACGTTTTTAAAAAAGCACTTACCATTTCGGATTCGGAATGGATTTTTTTTTTTTCCCCCTAACGTTTACTAAAGCAGTTTTCGTCTCTTTTATGGAAGTGTACTATTTTTCCAGTCCTTTTGGTAAGCCTCTCAAACAAATCACAAAGGGTGGAAAGACGGAGGGAAGTGGAATTTGCGAAAAATGGAATAAACGAGCAAATACATACTAGTATTTAAAGATACCGTACGTCACCAGGTGTATGTACATCATCGTATATGTACGTGCATTTTCTTCTGTACCAAAATTTCCTTTTTTATGTTTTTAGAAAAACGGTAGCGGGTCCACCTTTTCACGTCTCCAGCCTTCAAATTTGTATAGCAGATGATACCCTTTTTTCCAAAAAAGAAAAAAAAAAAAAAAGATATTAAGAAGCCACGTGAAATTGAATCAGATTTATAGTAAAATGGTGAGGAAATGAAACAAGTTTGTTAGGTTTAAACACTTGTGACGTTATGATGTAACACTTTTTGCCCCTTTAGTGGTACCTTTTTTTATTTTGGTAAGTTGCGAATTGACTTGAATTTTCCCCCCTTTTCACATGGGAAAAAAATAAATAAAACAAGTAAACAAACAATAATTAAAAGAAATATCACAGTGCAATCGATTGAAAAGTTGAGTCAACGATCAAATGTAAGTTGTAAAATTGCAATTTTCAGTCCTTATAAAACTTGTTGTAGATTTTAGATCATTAGATGAAAGTTTCAGTCATGCACAACACCACTAATCTTTCAACCGTTGATAATAAATGTAAGTAATATCTTTGAAATGGTGTTGCTCAAAAACATTTTGCATTGCATATATGCCTTTGTAGTTTTTACTTGTTGCATCACTCAACTAATTAATTAACCTAATCTTCCACTACTCTTCTTTTGACGGAAGCAATATTAATCCGTCGAATTGGATGGTTCAAAATTATTACTCTCTTCGGTTCCAATGAACATATATGCTCCCTCCGTCTCATAATTATTGTCCAGTTTGAGTTTTCATTTCTACTTCAAATTCTACTAAAAGCGAAATATCAAATTGGACAATAATTATGGGACAGAGAGAGTAATTGACAGTACTCATTTTGGTTAATAATAATATACTACTCACATTAATGTAAGAAGAACGATGCAAGAATCTTTCCTTATGCTGGAACGTGCACTTAATATACCATTTTCCGTGTTGATGCGAGTTCGAGATTCATGTGTTTGGAAAAACATTCGCGGTCAATCATGTGAAATGGAGAAATTGCGAAGCTTTTATATTTTGGCCACCACCCAATCAAACCGCCATGGCCTAAAAAGTAACCTTATAAAACTACCTCGGACGGTTTGTTCAAGGATATTTTTGGTCCAATGGGAATTGAGTAGCTAGGATCCTTACTTTTTTATTTTTTTTTGGGCTGTTCCAAACTAATAGGGTATGGACCACTCTCCCAAAATTTGTACCAATAAAAAAGATTTGATCGGAGATCATATATAGAATGGAATTCTTTGATTCAACGGCTGTTGACTAAAGGGATTTAACAGGGGCTTTTTGAGCAG